GCCTAATTAGCTCGCCTACCAGCCTTGAGGGATCACTATAGTCTACTCTGGCCAATCGTTTGTGCTGCACCATTTATAAATTCATGTTTTTTACCCTTAATGTTAATAAACCTTGTCTTGTTTACAAATAGCTAATTCGGATTTCTAACCTAAGTACTTGGCTAGGGTTCATTATGCTTTAAAGGATTTGACTTGCCTACATGAAAGTGATTAAATACTTTCCTTTTGGCTTTTTTGCGTCACATAATGCTCTAAATTACATTACATATGTCAGTATTTTCTTTCATAATCTTTATTAAAGCTTATGCAAAATTGCTGAGTTTTCGAACTTAGTTTCATTATTTTGTCATTGTACTTTTGAATGGGGTTGAATTTTGTGGCTTCAAAACCATACAACATCTTGTTGGCCTTGCGCGTTGGCATTTTTTGAAAATTCGGATTGCGTACGTTCCTTGGTTGTTATCGTTATTTCACGACCGTCTGTAAAAAGGGTGTCGGGAGTCATTCTCCTTTTTTGGGTCACGATTCTTTAGTATACGTATGAGTGATTGCATTTTTATTTCATCATTGTTGTTCCTCCATTTTTTCCTTAAGGTTTTGCTTTTTGTTTATAAATTAATTTTTATATTTTCAAAATTCAACAGATCGTATTTTTCTTGCTTCTTTTTGGTCATATTCATGTTCGTTTTATCATTCCTTTTATTAATATTGACATTAAAATACGAAGATAAACTGGGTTCCGATTAAGCTTTTGAGATAACATTGTTAGGGGAACTTTCATTTCGTATGAATCTTCTTCATTTACTCTCATACGAAACGAAAGTCCCCCTAACATTAAAATAAATACAATCTGGCTCCTAAGTTTATTCTGCTTTGATGTGATATCAGTGATGATATTTGCATTATTTGTTACAAAAATGGATTTATTGCCATTTTTAGTTAATATTACCATTGCGAACGTTTACCATAGGCAATATTGATGATGTGTTATGAGATGATACAAGCTTACCTATGCATAACACCCCTAAGACAGTGTAATCACTTCCCGATCTCAGATATTTTGGATTAAATCAATGTCCCTACCTGAAGATTTGAACAAAAGCATGTACCTTCAGAGTATATTTAAAGCCCTTTATACCAATAGTACCAGGAGAAGATGCCTTTCGATCTATAGAATGCATATCTGTAGCTTCGGATATCACATTCTACGTGCCTGATGGCCTTGTTATTGGTAAAAATAGCTTTACCACTGATACACATAATTAAGTACTGTTGGCTTGTGAGCCGGCTTACCAACAGCAAATGTTTTCTCTTTGTTTAGTGTGCATGAAATACCCCTATTTTGTTCACTTTTACTCGAGTACAATCGACCATGACCAGACCTGTCTACTCACGATCTACTTTATAAATTACTTGCTTGTCATTTCCTTTGGTCTATGAGACCTTAAGAGTTTCCTTATTTTCACTTTCATTCATCCCACAAAATATTGTCTTGAGATTTACGGTTGCATCTTCAGTGTGTGTCACGTACAATTTTATTTGTCGACGGCGCCTCTACTCTAGTATGATTGTTTTTTGTCTCCGTTTTTATAATTACTTTCTTCTGCCTCTGTGGCTTACCTAATTTGGATTATAGCAACTAAAATATCGAGATATCATATCATACTCAGCACATTCTTTATTGCTCTTGGTAGACATTTCGTTTGATCTGAAACTCATTTGCAGATCATCTAGTCCACACGGCTTAGTTTCTTAATTAAATCCACTTTTGGGATCAAAGTGGTCTTACCTATTTGGCGGAATTATGGAGATACAATCAAAACTTAGATAAATGAGATGACATAATAGCAGTTGCCTTAAATTTCTCACCTGTGGGAACAAAAAATTAGCTCCTTTTCTCTCAGAATGGCTAGAATTCAATTTAGTGGCTTGCAGTGCTCAAACTTAAGTGTTTGGTCGGAACCAAAAGCTTGCTTTCTCCTTGTCATATTAAGGCGATCCGAGCTTATGTATACTGATACTGATTGCCCTAATCATGATTCTCCAAACTTAGTGATAAGTTTTATCGTGGATAATGCAAACTTATTTTATAGAAGTGGACTGATCTCGCTGTCGCAACTTGGTCTTGTTGCCAGGGCGACTTAGTAGAATGCATCTAGTCCAAAGGCCTCTCCCATAGTAGTTATCATAATTCCCTGCATCAGACCGTAGATTTGGTACATTCTCAGACGTTTCGCCGGCATCTTAATCCGCATCATCAGAGTCTTGCCGCTCTCTGCACCAAGCCACGAACTTGTCAGAGACAAGTGAAGTAAATCCTTTGACCAACGTTCTGCCGAAACTGTTATTCTATCACTCCTCTTTCTGTCCCGGCTCATCTATCAACTCTACTTTCTTATCTAACTCCCGCCCTATCATAACTTCTGACTTGTTTACGAACATACTGGGGTCCACACCATCTTGGTCTTCATGTATCCGATCAAACTTATTTTGCTTATTTTTGCCATGATTCATATTAAATGGTAATTGGTTTTCTCTCTCAGTTTGTATAATAGTTTTTCGACTGCAAATGCATTCCGTTTACTAAATTGCCTCGTGTTAAGACAATAAATCTGCTGGTACGACAGCTTGTTTTCTTTCATTTTCTTTTTCGATGATTCCATCTTTGTTAATTGTCACAGATTTATAAATTTAATTCTTTTTCAAAGTAATCCTATTGTTTCCATAAAAGATATGTTCTTTTGCTTGTCATTCATTGATGGTTTGAAGATAAAATATCTATTGCCAAAATACAGTAGGATTGTGTTTAATTGGAAATATATGTTTATAATTTCTATCCTCCCCAACTATGGATTCTAGTTTTCCTACGACTATGCCATTCTGAAGTTTCGTCGTGGGTGTCTAGTATGATAGTAACCTTTTCATCTTTGAATGCATTCTGGATTCAGATTCCACAAAGAGTATTCCGTTCTGGATAAGAACCTACCTCTGGGACTCAAAATAGGACAGACTCAAGTCCTCAATTTAGCTCATCATATAAAGCTCAGCTATCTTTCAGTGTAACTCTTAGTTGTTGGGGGGACTTTCATTTCGTATGAAAGTGCTTGAAGAAGAGATTCGTTGGTCGATCTCACTAGAAGAGGACGAATAAATCAAGTTGTACTGCAGCGGTTTTGCTTTTATACGATGACGCAGTCCACGATATTTCCTCCCTCGTTTCGGGTGAAAACGAGTTGGGGTTTCGTCCATTATATGATGGGCATCATCAGAGCGAGATTCATCCGTTCTCATCTGGTACGATCGACCAACGAATCTCTTCTTCATGCACTTTCATACGAAATGAAAGTCCGCCCAACAATGTCATCCCAGGAGATTCATCGAAACTCAATTTCTCTTCGTAAATCTTAGTTATCATGATGTATATTCTCATTGAGACCTTAGCTTAACCCACTAGCCTTGGGCTCTATCCTCTTTATTTGAATGCATTTATTTTTAGCTTATCATATTCCTAGTTGGATAGGATCACATTTCCGTAGCTCTGTTCTTAATTTGTTACACTAATCTCGCTTGATTTTTGATCAATTGACTCTTTAAAATTAAAAACTATTACTGCATTGTTTTGCATTGAAAACTTGCCAAAAATTATCTTATTCCAATCACTATTCTGCTTTCCAAGACGAGGTTTATCTGGTCATTCTAGACTTTCCGACTTATCATTTCGCTCTCATTATTGCATATATTCACTTTTTAAATGC